GCTCTCACTCTGACTATGAGAGCCCTTGTACCATTTCCTTCTCTGGCTGAAGGAATCTGAACAGTGTCATGAATCCTGTTGTGTTTTGGGGGATTCACACCATGTTGTGAATGTTTTCTTGTGTTCTGTTGTACTGATATGTGTGGTCTCATTGAAAAGCCAGTGTTGTCCTGTATCCATTTATGTTACTACCATCATTGTGTAGGTTAAGTTATGCTGTCTATATATAACTTTATGGTTTTGGATACAAGTTAATCAAGGGAAGGGTGTGGGCAGAATTGCTAAACTCTATTACTACTGTGACTCCGGGGCAAGAAGAATTGCCACTTCCAGACACAGACAGAAGGGGTTGGGCCCTAAAGCATAGATAGCAAAGACAGCTGAGAGGAATGGCCTGTCCAGCCAAACGATTTCTGATGATGGGGCAAGACTCTCAGGAAGGCTAAGGTGTAGAGAGATGAGAGGGTAAGGAACTTTTCTTGGGTTGCCGTTCTGTCTCCAAACCTCTAGTCAGTTTTGCTTGTATAATTCTTTTCTTCTACTTAATAAGTCTTTTTGTTATTGGGCTCCTTACTGATTGCCTGCAGAAAGAATAATTTCTGGGCAAGTGATATTCTGGGCTAGCCCTTCCCACTTAGAGACGGACCTACAAATTATTTCATCATCCAATGGGGTGGCCATTGGGGGCTGGCAGAAATTCCCTGACTACAGCTGTAGGATCTGGTATAAAGGCAGTGGAGCTGAGATTTTCTGGGATATGGAGCTACCCCAGAGCAACCTCAGCCTGTTCCTTGAGACAAGCAGGAGCACAGTTGGGAGAAACTTGGGGCTCAAAGGGCCCCTGAGAGTTGGATTTGTGACAAACACACATCCTTGCATCTTGCAGGAGTGAGAGCAATCGCCAAACTCCAGGAATGCTCTCAGTCTCTACCTCTGACTCCTCTCTACTTTGTATAAATAAACACAAGTGCCACTGGAATCTATGCATCATACCTTGAAGCAAGTGCCGTAATCATCAGACTAGAGGACACTCAGGGTGCTGACACAAGTTACATTTTGTTGCATGACTGGCCACTGAAAGTACTCTACAGTGGTGCCCTGACAGAAGGACATGGCTGCAGAGCACTTTAAAAGAGGCTGCCCTGAGACAATCTGAACTCTCATTACAAGAGGGTTCAGATGAAGGCGCTCTAAAGTGGAGCACTTTAATTAACTTGTGTCAGCCCGCGCCAGGAGCAGAGCTGGCCTGACAGCCCAGCCCTGCTCTGTTTTCAAAATGGGAGCAGGGGAGGGAGCAAGGGAAGCTCATTCTGGGGTTGCCCAGCTGGCACTGGAGGGTGGGATCAGTGGATTGGAGCCCACCCACATCAGGGGGGCTCCCATCCACATACCCCACCCTTCAACACCTGCTGGGCAACCCCCAGAATGAGCTCCCTCTGATTCCTTCCCCCACCCCCCCATTCTGAAGACAGTGCCGGGGCTAGGAGGGAAAAAGATGGGGCTAGGGGAGAGCAGCTGCAGACCTGAAGCTACTCTAAACTGCAGCTCAATCCCCCAACCCCTGGAACCCAACAGGGAATGTCTGTTGAGTGTGGGGGATTCCTGTAATTCATGGCTCTTCCAGTGAAGCGCCATGAGTTATAGCAGGAGCAGCACATCTCTCTGCACTCTCACTCTACCCCTTTTCCTTCTGTGGTTCAGTGAGAATTTAACTATGGCATGTAAAGGAGATACTGTTCCAACAGGAGAAAATGAGAGCGAGGTCAAGCTTAGAAGAGTGTCAAGCAAGGGTTGGCAAACTACAGCCTATGGACTTGATCTGACCATTGGAGCTACTGTATCAGGCTTTGGGGATCATTTGATTTCAGGGAGCTTCATCCATGCCATGCCATGCCATGCCATGCCATGCCAAGTGGTGGGGAGCTTTGCCTATACTGAGCCATGCCATCCTTGAAAGGATCTTAAGGCACCTTCAGGGTGACATGGCATACTGGTTGAGAATCACTGCTCTATTATTTTTTGCAGTTAAAAAACAAGTGGTGACTTGAGTCAAACCAGATTGAGAACCAGTGGCATACTATTCTGGATATTCTCTTACAAGATAGCACATGTGGTTTCAAGTATTCCAAAACCAGAATAGGGATTTTTTTAAACTGTTTTAATTAGCTAAAAGGTAAAATGCACTTTCACTATTATCTTGTCCTCTTCAAGTTTAGTGCACTTAGCCCCATTTCCTTTTCTTACAAGTTCCTGAACATAAAATGTTTCATTCAACATAAAAAGCAATTTTATCTGATTTGTATTCAAGGAACAAAAACAAAACAAAAAAATTAATTTAGAATTCAGATGGATTAAAACGTCTTCTCCACTCCCCCAATTTTTAAATTCAGATGCTGAAAACGCCCCCCAATCATTCACATAGCACCCAATACTAATTATTTTGGGGACTTCGAAAATTGAAAAAAACCAACAAACAACCCCCCTCCTCCACAAAAAAAACAACCAAAAAACAAAAAACTTGAGTGCAATGGGACAACTTGTGTAGTTAAAATTGAGCATGTGTGAAAATATTTGGAGGTTTGGGACTTACATCAGTCAATAACTGCAAAAATAATCAAAAGATAAAATATGGTAATTTGCAATACTTAAAGATAATTGTGTCCTAAACACTAGGACAATCTGGAGATACTGTTCACTTACAGGTACAATGTGAATTAGTCAATGTGCCAATATTTACGTAATTATCACATTTAAAATACAAACTGTTTTAAAACTTTACTATGAAAGAAACAACACATTTAAGCCTACCACTGCTAGACACTCCTACTCAGAAACAGTGGGAGCAGTAACAGGAATGCCTTCCATATATAGAAAATGTTTAATATAAACAAAGTGAGTACTGCATGCAATACTTTGAATCTAAGAGTCCATCTCTGGGGTTTAATTCTTAACTCTTTCTTTGTTTCATGGCATGATCTTAGGCAATTGGCCCTGGCCTTGCAGTAAGCTTTGCAGATTCAGGAGTCCACTACTGTACAGCTCATTGCAGAATTAGGGTCTAAGCCTCTGTGTTTCAGTTTGTCAAGAGTTAAACAGTTATATCATTAATCATCTCTGCGGAATAATGGTCAGATGACAGAAAATGTGTAGAAAGGGCTTTGATTTCAAACCGTCCAATACAAATTTTCTTTTTATAAAATGAAAGCCATTTGTAATTGTTGACCAGAATTACTTTGAAGGTATTTTACACTCTATGTTAGGAAAGGTCTTTCTAAGACTTTCTATGGGAGTTTTTAAGTTTAGTTTAACAATTTTAAACTAAAAGTTATCTTAACAATGTTAACCTGATCTGAACACACTGCTTACATACATTGTTAACTGGTGGTGGAGTCTATTTTTGTTCAATGAAACTCTGAAACACATGTTATTTAAGCACATATTTAAGTGCCTATGATTTTAAAGGGATGCTACTGAGCTTTTGTTGAATCAGCTCTTAATCCACAGTTCCTCCACAGAGCAATCGGAACTGAAAATTTTCCAGTAAAAAGGAATGGTCAATATTTTTGTGGCAATATTAGACCCATTGTCTATTTTTTCCGTGAAATAGGAAAACAAAACAAACCAAAACCCCTTATTAGAGATATTTTTATTAGCTGCAATTAATCACAATTTTAATTGCACAGCTAAAAACTCAAAATTATGTGCAGAAAAACTAAAAATTGTACAAAATTATGCAGGTACTTTGTTTGGTTAGGGGTGTGGGGGGTGTGCGTGTGTGTGTGTGGGGGGAATTTGTGAAGGTGTGGGGGGCTGTGGATGTGTATGTGGGGTTTGGAGCCTGGGAAGGGGGAGGTCCATGCATACCCTGCCAGGATGCAGGGTACTGTGGGTCTGGAGTGAAGGGCAGCAACAGGGCTGTGGGGGCTGTGGCTTGGGAGTAAGGGGAAGAAACACAGACACGCAAATACAAATGCACACACACACACACACACACACACACACACACACACACACACACACGCACACGCACACGCACACACACGCACACAGAGTGCCCAGCAGGTAAGTCTGTGGAGGGGGGCAGATCAGGGCCCCCATGGTGAGGCAGGGAGTGGGGCAGGAGCAGGAGCAGGAGCTGGGGTGAGTGGGGCCTCAGGCTAGGGCAGGTTGTGTGATAGAGCCGCAGGAGGCTCCTTCAGGGGTGAAGGACAGGGCATGGCTCTCCACTGCTGCACGCACCAGGGGAGAGAGACATGGGGGGCAAATACCACCTAAATTTGTGTGCAGTGTGGAGGCAGGCTGCCTTCTGTGGGCTGGGGCTCTGCACCCAGCCAAAAAATGAGTGTAAATTAGGAGCTGGCATTTTCCAAATAGTGCCTTGAGTCTAATGAGGGGTGCCTTAAGACTAAAAACAACTTGAGAACCACAGGGTTATGGTCACAGTAAACTGAAGGTGAACTGTGGTTTTGCAGACAAATGGATTTGGAATAAGAAAAGAAAGATTCTTGATTTAGTAACACTTTAAAATAGAACAAAGATCTTAAAATGAGTGAAGAGAACGTTAGACTAAATTTGGTACTGGCATTCAAGTCAATCTCATACTATATTATAGTTCAGCTTCAAATCAAGCCACGGGACAGCAGGAAATACATCTGTAACATTTTCTGCTTAAAAACTTACAGAAACTAATAGTTTGTGAATATATTTGACTTGTCTAACAGGTTATTCATCTATGCCCAGCTTTCCACCAGCCTTCATTTGTCAGAGTATTATGAATAATACACAATGGTTTCATTTTACATGCCTTCTGCTTACAATGTTACACAACCGACTACTAAAATCCCTGTATATTAGGAAATCAAACAAACCTTTTTTTAAATAAAAGCACTGTATAATGCAAGGAGGAGACACTACAAGAAGGCAAATCTATTCTGTATCTGTTTACTTAGGGTAGTCCTGAATCAGAAATGTGCACATGTTCCTCACAATCTAGATTTTACCTGTTGAAGCATTTCTTCAGTAGCATTAAGTTTCAGCTGATGTCCCTCAAGACAGACTTCTAGGTCCCGAATTTTCTCTCCTTGAGCTTCCACTTGGTCTGTGAGGACACTCACCTGTAATAGGAGAACAGGGGCAGGAAAAACACTGGTAAATTGACTGTAAATAAGACTGCTTCCTTGTAAAGCAAACAGATGACAGTGTACCTTTATATCCAACTGCTACTTAAAGTCTTTAAAATTTTAAGTCTTGAGTATCCAATATCTTCCTCTATCAAAACTTGCATAATTTCTGAGTCTTACCTAACATTGTTTGCTTTGAAAGCTTTGGTCAAATTGTAGTTTTACAGTCAAAAGGAAAGACCCAGAGTCTCTGGGAGGGCCAACAAACTATGCATAAGTAGCCTGAATAAATTTAGGTAGCGTGCATACAGCCAATATTTTTTTAAATAAAAAAACGAGAACAAAGAATACTTTAAAGTGCTATCAGAGTAGGCATTACTATTTCGGCTCCCACTAGCACTTCCCTTCTTTAAGTGAATAAACAATAAAACTCTTCTTTAGGAAACTAACCAATTACCTAACCACTTACAAAAACATGAGAACAACTTACCTATCAATAAAGGTTTTTGAAGCTATAAAAGAATGAAATATGTAAAAAGGCATGTTTTAGCAGCAGCAAAGCTCTGTTCCACAAAATTTCCAAGCTTTACAAGCCAAAACATGAAGGCAAAAGAACTGAAACACAGGCAATGAATCACTGTGCAGGAAACAATTAGTAATACTCTTGAAGAATTATAGGAATGGTGGTAATAAACCAGTGTGTGGACAATAAACAGAATGAGAAGAGCCCACCAAGTTAGCCCAGAAACTTATTATAACTCAGAAATTTATATTCAGCATAATGTTACAGAGATGGGGAACAAATAGCCCTTTGGCCTAGACATGATAGCACCTGAAGGATGATCCTATGCATTAATTTATTACTAGTATACATATCCATTTTGGTTGCCCCAGGCTCCCCATACTATTTAGCACTCTGAACACACACAAAGGAGACAGATTATCCTACAGAAGTTATAATGTCTGTAGAACAATCCCCCAAAATACATATAGGAACAGGCAGCACAGCAACTTATAGAAGCTAGGAGAAGCATTTGCAGGTCCAGCCTTGCTGCCTGACAAGGACAGGCCCAACTTCATTGGGCTTCAGAAATATGCAACAGAGTTACTCAACATGCAACAGTCACACCAGAGACATGTATAACAATCTTTTAGAAATAATGTTATACTGGCATGCTGTCATGGCTGGATTTCTGAACTTGCCTTGCTGTTTTCAAAGCCTTGCCCTGCATCCTAGTCTTGAATTGTTTAACCATAATTTGCCTGCCTCAGAGTAGAGTAATTCAGTATACACAAGCTATTATTCCAAGCACTAGAATCCCCCCCCCCTCCTTACCCTGAGCTAATAAACCCTTCAGTCTTGAACTTAACTTTACTAAGAAAAACCCTCAGGATGAAACCACAAAATACAGATTTCACTTTTAACTGAAGTTCAGATAACAACATTAATGGTATTGTCACCTCTAGCATGAGCTTTCACAGCCAGGTATGTCACTGTCTTGCAGAAGTTCCATAACCCACAGGCTTAGAAAAGGGCCTGCTTGGGCAGAGTTCTTGAAGATACACTCAATAAAAGGTAATGCTTAGATGTGCACAGGCTTTTGATTCAATCTCCTAACTCAAAGGAGACAATGATCAGGTGGCAGGAAACCTGCAGGAAAAGTCACGCAAAGCATGTGACTTGATAGTCCATGTTTTCTTACCTATGACTAGCTTTTTGCAGGGGTAGATCCAGAGGGAATGCAGTTGCAGCCTCCTTTCTACAGTGTAACTTGATGGCTCTGGTTCCTCACAGCTCTGGATGCTTGGGTACATATTAGAGTCCAGACCATGCCACAGGAGCAGCAACCAGGGACTTTTTTTTTAAGTCCCTGAAGCAGGTAAGAATCTACCCTTCTTCTCTCAGCTCTCCTTCTCTTCCCCCTCATGCTCAGCAGCACCTGCCCTCCACTTCTATTCTCATCCTCACCCTCTTTACTTACAGCTCTGGGTACAGGAAGGGAAGGACCTACCCATCCCTGCTGCTGCTCCTAGCTGCCCCAGAGGCAGAAGGAACCCCAGAGCTGCTCCCGCTTCACTCCAGATGGGTCTGTCAGGAGCGGCTGTGGGGGAAGCCAGGCTCAGCTGGAGACAGTGGTGGCAGTGGGGGGGGGGGGGGGGGATGGGGTTCCCTTCCCTGTCTGATCCTTTCACGTGTTCCCTACTAGCCCAAGGGTAGGTGCAGGGAGTAAGATCCATCACCCACCACCAGCACTGTCCATGACCAAGCCTAGCTTGCTGAACAGCCACTCCTCACAGCACTAGCTGGAGCAGGATAGCAGCAGTTAGGACAGTAGTAACAGTGGGCAGGTCTCCTCTTTCTCTGCTCAGAGGTGTAAGTAGAGAGGGTGACGTGGGGAATATGAGGGGAGGGGAGATTCCCCTAAGCATGAACAGGAAGGCAAAGGGTGATGAGAACAGTGGGGAGGAGGGGATTCTTTCTTGTTTCAGGGACTTAAAACAAAGGTCCCTAGATGCTGCTCGTGAGGCATGGTCTACCTGCTCTACTAGAGGTAGGGCAGTGGAGGGTACAGTCACTCCTCCCCTCCCCCCCCCAGCACAAGTTGCTGTTTCTGTACCCTCCTTTTCAAAATCCTGTATCTGCCTATAGGTATTTATAATGGGCTTGGAAGAAAGGAAAAACTAGAACATGCTCAACAACTGTTAGAAAAAGAGGGAATGGACATATTCTGCTTCTTCCTTTATATTTTTTGCTTCTGGATGCAAGTCACAGAGAAGACGGGAGACACAAGAAAGCCAGGCAGGATTAGGGAGAAAGTAAAACTTAAACACAAGCAGACGTAAACAGACACATTTGAACAGCATTAAACTCTCTCTTAGCAAGATACACAAGTTCTGCAGAAAGAGATGCTTCTTATCAATTGGTTGGGTTGCCCATTTTTCCATGAAATGATGAAGAAAGGAAAGGATAGTGGAGATGAGGCAGTAAAGAGCAAAGGGACAACACTCTGTCCTCCCTTTGAAACTCATGCTTGTAGCTCTCACCATAAAATAAAGAATGACAGCTCTGTTAAAGGGTTAAGGTGTAACTGATATTGTCATCCACAAGGAAAATTTTTAATGTTTAAGGTAACCCACAAAGTCATTTAAGAAGATCCCAGCTGCTTTACAAGTATGGGCTGAATGTTTCAGTACTGAGATGGAGAGCCACGTTAGCAGCTTAAAACTCACTATTTTCTCATGTTTGTCAAAGACTTCAGGTCACTGGGTTGTACTTAGAGAAAGGATGGGTAACTCTTTTGGCTGGAACTTGGGTGAGCTGATGTGGGTGATGTGGGCAGGGGGGAAAAGGGGTGCTGACCTGGCTTGGCACAGTACAGGGGAGGGAGAGGGGGGAAACAATTGATCCTATATGGCCTGGGCCTGTCTGCCTTGAACCCACTATGCCAAGAAAGCACATGCCCACTGGGAGCCACCTCACACCAGTGAAATTGCCAACAGGGTCCTGCAGAAGGTTTCTATCACCTCTAGGCTTTCTGAGAGGCAAATGGATATTCATGTGGGACACTGAATCTGGCCTGAAGTCTGTATTATGGCTCTTAAACCATAACAAAAAATCACTTTCAGGTTGAGAAGTCTAGACATTGTTGATTTAGTTTGGAAGGACTGTGGGGCAGGACTATTCTCTTACCAAGTGCATGTTCTGGGATTCTGGTCCTAACTGGGATCTGAACTCAGTACTACTGTAACACAAAACAGTAGTAAGGCAAATTGGGGTGGGAGAATGAGTTAGAATGATCAACTTTCACCTGGTTCCTGAGGATAGTCATATAAGGCACTGACAGACGTGGAAAAAAAAATCGCTTGACTAGAAACAGCAGCACGCTACTTTGACTTGTCTCCACAGTGTCTGTACAGATGGGGTGCTTCAGCAGGGCTTTTTCATGCTTTTAGCTAAAGCTGATTCAATCAGCTACTAGATAAAAGCACCAACACCCCCCCCCACTAAAGTGCCTGATCTATACAGACATTGGGAAAGTCAGGTGCAACTAATGTGATTCCTCTTCTGGGCATGTGTTGGGTTTGGCGCTGGAGCGTGTCAAATTCAAAGTAAAGCACTCTTTTCCCCCCACAAGTCTGTAAGCAGCCATAGATTCCTAAGGCTGATGGTATTTTATGAAATTCCTTTGCAGACAAACCCAAACAGGTTGTTAAGCATGCTTAGAGCTCAACATTTATGATTTTAAACAAGATTTCAAACAGTTTAACTGCAGAATTTTTGCTAATGGCAATTCTAATTAGAGTGGTATGAAGACTTCAAGCCAAGCCATATGATTATGTCTTGTGACAGGTTTACTGTTTATTTTATATTGGTAACCAGAACTTTAATCAGTAAATTAAATCAAATGAGAACAGAAACACATACATGAGACACGTTTATAGAAACTCATTACTAAGATGAAAAAAATATGTATCCACATGTATCAGGCATGGACCAGGAGTTAATTACAGATGCAAAGGGAATGCATACATAGACAGACTCCTGCTTTAGGTTTTTAAGACCAGCTGCTCTGACATCCAGGACAGGAGAAAATATTCAGAAAAACTCAAGGACTTTCATCTATGCCTGTGCAGCATTATATTCTCCAAACATAATACTTCTTCACATAGGGCAGAAGTCCTGCTTTAGACAAAGACTTGGGAAACAGAGAAGCTGGAAGCCTTGCAGAAACTGAATCAGTTTCAGGATTAATTTTTCTTTGGATGTTATCATTAAATTCTCCCATCCCTTTAGATTCTTGAGGATGGGAAGTAGTTTAGGTAATTCAAAGGCAAGGATTTTGTAACAGAGAACCAGGATTTGGGCAAGCCAAATGTTGCAGGCTTTTCTAGAAAGTCAAAAACCTTACCCTCACTGGGGTAAGAAGATAAAGGACAGTTGGGAGGGCTGCTGCTTAGTGGGTAGAAGTAATGCACGTTGAAAAACTGCACTTCACTGGGGGGACATCAATTCCTCTTAATTTTCCACAGAACCCAAGACTCCTGGTGCCCCATGTGTTTTGTTTTGGAGGTCTGATGTCCCCCAGGACAATAATGACCACAAGGGTCATCTGGAAGCGCATTTGACTCACAACTTCTCCTTTCAATTTAGAGTACAACGTTGAGCAACATGCTGCAGGACTTCTCATATCTGTCATATCTTCTCATATCATATTATGACAGAGCCATAATACAGAGGCAATGGTACAACTGGACATCCATAGTCAGTGATAAACTCTGAAGGACAGGTCCTCAGCAAGAATCACTTGACATGACTCCACTGACTTCTATGGATTTCTAGCAGCTGAGGCTCTGGAGTTGGGGGAGAAAGGAATGTAATTTGTGCACCACGCAGAGAAATACAAAAATCTAGAACTCTTGGTTCAGAGATGACACCTTTTATTAGACTGACTAAGAAATCGCAAAAAAAAAATGTCTTTTTGCAATGTCCTACTTGGTCTAATAAAAGGTATCATCTCTGAACCAAGAGTTCTAGATTTTTGCATTTCTTTTTGTCTCAGACTAACACGGCTACCAAACACGATGCCCCCCCCCCGTCAGAGAAGGCTGACACAAAAATCATATTCTCTACAAAAATCAGTTCAGTAAAAACAGAGCAATCACTAGGAAGAGGCATATCTGATCATTCTACAGTGTCATTATCTTGGGCTGAGAGGCCCATGAAAAAATCTCATTCTGAATATGCTTTTACTTCTTGCTCACTGCCTCATTTTTTCCTATATGTTACATATTCAAAACTAAACTGGATAATAACCAGCCTGATTAGCTGCAAGCTTAAGATTTCCCCCAATCCATCAACATTTACATTCACAGGCCAGCCAATGTTTCTTGTACAGTGTATGATCTATTGCTTTATGAAACAGACCTGAGATAGATTGCTTCATATATCTTCCATTCCTCCCTCTAATTTGTATCCAGTGAATGCCAATGCTGTTATACATACCTGCAATATGAGGGATTCTTTATCACCTTCTAATCGTGCCAATCGTTCTTGATAGGTTTCATTATTAGCTGAAGAATGATGATTCACCTGAGACTAAAGAAAAAGAAATACTAAGTAATTAAAATGAACATTTCAAGCAATAGCTAACAGAAAGCGAGGTATAATTTGGTGGTTGCTACAATTCAAAATAAATGCACAAAGCATTCACAGTTTGATCTTGCAGACAGCAATCTGGTATGCCACAAGCAGTTTGAAGGTACTTTTTTATATACATTTGAAATTTGAATATTCTAGATCCCTAAAAATAAGAGAATGACACAAAGCTGAGCATTTCTGCCTTAGGACTGGTTGGAAAACTTTCCATCAAAACTCTCTTTCATGTCAGATTAAGTAAAACTTTCCCAAATCTTAGCTGGGGTTCTACCAGGACTCCTATCAACTGCCCTGGTGCTAAGTACCCCCTGTACATCCAGGGTCCATTACACCATGACAAATTGACTCAATGGATGTACTGAGCTATAGATTCTGGAAGCTCTAGATCTCTCTGTCTCTCTCTCTGGGTGGTCTATCTGGGCATGGTCTGTGGCTCCAGGACAGATTATCCATATGTAAAACCCAGCACCAGGTATCCTGGGATTCCAGCAGCTGGTAAGTGGAAGCCTAGGGATTCCCACCTCTGGCTCAGAACCTGGGACTCGGAGTCTGGAAGTCCTGAGAAAGGATCCCAAAGTCTGTATCACCAGGGCTGAATGGCAGGGCTACTCTGGAACCACAGATCCTGCCCTGAAGCAAGGAGCAGCAAATCCGACCAATGTCAATCTTACAAAGCAACCCCAGGCACTGAGGAACTTCCAGTTTGTGGGAAATAAGGACAAGTTTTGATTTCACTCAAATTCCAACCAAAACCAGATTGAGAGCAACAGGGAGATAGAGGTGTGTCCCATGAATTCTGCTTTTTGGCCAACTTTATTCTCTATCCAGTTGAACTTTGCATAACTCTTGATTTGTGGGAGAACACATTTTTATTTTATAGAAGACTGGTTCCAGGTCATGCCATAATTTACTTATCACCTGCCATTAATGAGCCCATAGTGCGTTATATATGCAGACATCTCTTTCAGATCCCATGTTTTTATTTTTCTTGAGACCTTCCAATAAATATCGCCCATATAAGTGGGAAATTCATAAATGCAATACTTGTGCTGAGTTCCAAATTTATGAATTTGGAAAACATATTTCCCTAGAATATGATGACAGTGAAAATATGTGATTGTAATTAAACCAAAAATATAAAAGAATCTCTCTCCCCCAAAGCAGCCAACAGCTACTTACTGATAGAAGTTATGAGATTAATCGAAAAGAAATCAAAGCATCAGACACCTGTAAACAGTGTGAAATACAAAACCCACTTCAAGAACAAAGTTGCACAAACTTATACTTATGCGTGGAAATACATACTAATGGTCATCTAAACTATAAAAATGAAGCATACCAAACTGAGCTACATCAAGAGCTTCCATCAATAACATTTCACACTAGACACAGCTCAAGCAGGAATGCGACTTAAAGGGCTGCTTGCTTTGATCCAGATTCTAAGAAATCCTTTGCACTGGCTTTTCTGTTGAACAAGCCCACAGAAAACTACTATAAATCTGAAAGGATATAGTTTATCATATGCCTTTTTTTAAAGCAACATAATTGCTATAAGGAAAAACAGTGGGTTTTTACAACCTATATTTCAGCTAGAAACTGTTATCAGGAACTACTACAACTGTTTAATCAGCCTTAGATTTAAAGTAAACTCACTGCACAAGCTGACAGAAAAAAATAAATGTCATATTAGACCACAGCAGTAAATATCGTTGTCAGTGACCATGCAAATATGCACCTTAAAAATAATCTAATCCAACAGTGTTTATAGTACCGCTTAGACAAAGAATAAAGAGCTGTGAAACAGATGCAAGCAACAGGAATACATGCAGAAACAGTGCTTGATCTCATTTCAGTAAAGTCAGTTTCAACCTCCCACAGACATCAATGAAGCAGAATCAAGGACTCAAGTTTTTGGGGAATGTGAAGTAGTAAGATACTACACTGAACAGACAGAACCACACAGAGTTGTGTAGTAGATAATGTTTAACTGGGGAGCTGTTCCCAGAAATTCTCCTGCTCCATCTAGAGCAGTGTGCCTGTAATAAAGAGAGTACTCTTTTTATTATTACAGGCACATCACTTGCACTGATGGGGTCAGGGGTGGGGGTTAAGCAGTGCCATAGCAAGGGGGTGGGGGGTGAGTGGGGCGACCACCCCAGGCACAGAAGCAAAGGGGCATCAACAAGCGTTGCCCAGCCAGGGCAGGGTGTGGGATGGAGCTGTAAGCAGCTCATTTGGGAGGGCGCGGAGATGGAGGAAGGGCAGCTCCCACTGCTGCATCCACTCCTGGGCAAGTATGGGGGGTTGTGTGCCCCCTATATCTGTGTGCAGGGCAAGGGTGGGCTGCTGCTGTGGGCTTTACCCCAGGTGCCAAACTTTGTTGCTATGGCACTGGGGGCAAGTGGGATAAACAAAATGTTGCCCTTCCACCCCAGGTGCTCACTGAGCACCCTATGCCACTGAATGTCTATGCTGGTCACATCTACAGATAGTGCATTTTCCCCTTAAATTTTAAAGTTTATGTTTGGTTTAGGCTGCCACAGAAGATTCACATCTGAGAGAATCAAACTTTGTTATAAAATATCAGGTATAACTTAAAATTATAATTAAGTCATTGCCAAATGATTCTGATCTTCACTTCCTGTTAAGCAGCTCTGCTAGAAATCTCTCAGGTCACTCAGCATCCTAGAACACAACATTTTCCTCTAGAATGTCTGCCTCGTAGCTTGCATGAAAAAGAAAAGCTGTACCAATACTTTCAACACAGCTGGCCTCAGAGGGAAATAAATGTATTTGGCTGTCTAGGTGCTACTACGAATCTTTGTATGAATAAATTGTAAGAGTTTCAACAGGAGAGATTAAGACTGACCAACCTTGGAATTTTCAGCTGACCCCAGTGGGTAGAGTCATCTCCTGGGAGGTGGTAAATCTTGGTTCAAATCCCTTGCTTCCAACCAGGCATAAAGTGGGTTTGAACTGGATCTTCCATACCTACTGTAAGTGACTTACTTTTGGGGGTAACAGGCTCTAAAAGGGAACCATACATCATACCCCTTCTGTGAATAGTACTTAAATTCTGTTATGAATACAGCCAGTAAACTAACAACATTTTACTGGTACTGAGCTAAACCATTTGGACATTACTGATTTTCCTCCTCATGTTTTGGTTAAATAAAAACTATAGGAAATTTGGTTCAAAGTCCACAAATTGGTTTGAATGACATAAAAAAGCATTTTTTCAATCAATATACTATTTGCCAAAATAATTGCTGCAACCCTAATTTGCAGAAGGTCTTCCTATCAAAATCAGCAGTGGCCAAAGGAGACAATACTCCATTTTTGCTGCTCTATTTGTTCTAATGCTACACTGGTCTTATGAAGCAGGTCTGTAGCCACTTACATTTACATGAAATGAATGATGGATACAGTGCCTGTTCTGCACAAATCATTTGTAGACAGTGTTCTTGCAGGACCCGTCTTATACTCTCAAATCACATTTTAGAATTCCAGCAGCAATTTAGTGCCTAAGAATTAAGAATGAATCTTACATAAATGTAAATATTTCTATAACCCTGAACACTCTGCCTAAGTACAGACATTTGGGGAGGTTACACCAGGTTCAAAATGGCCACCCAATTTAAACTTAGCTCATCCCAGTGCCACACTTACACTTACAGACCTGGACTCAGTGACTGGCAATCAGTCTAATCTTTAACTGTACTGAAGTTCCATGCACACAGACTGGTCTAAAAATTACAGAACCCAGTTTAAGATTGTCTCTTGTAGGTGTTGTAGGGCTTCAGCCCCTTCTTGATAGGTGCCTTGCTCCCAAGTGACGTCAGGGTGAGATAGGGCTCTGGTGCCACCTAGATGGTGTGGGTGCTACTCCTACTTGCCTGCCACATCTTTGATATTCTTTATTGGGGAGGCAGTTCCCTTCAGGTGGCCCCCAAAGCAAAGAGGTCCCGACCCTGGTCTTTCTTCGTGGGGCTCCAAACCTCCTCTTTACCCCACCCTTACCACATCCATGGCCTGGGCAAATGCTGCACCCCTGGATGATCTCTTCTCATCCAGACCGCTTGCCTCGGAATGGGTCGGGCCTTCTCGGCCAGCACAATCTTCCCCATGGCTGGTCCCTCAACTTCAGGCTGGCTTGGGCATCTAAACCTGCCCCGGCTTGGGGCTAACTGGAACTAAAAATGAATTCAACAGAAAATATCTGGCCTCTGATGGACCCCTGGGGTCCTGTCTCCCAGTGCCCACTTGGTCACTTGGGGGGGGGGGGGGGGGGGGGGGGGAAAACAGAGGGGA